ACTTCCTTCATGAAACAGAGATGGCACCATGGGGCAGGCTGCACAAGGAAGTCCTGGCACACATGTACAGGTTGGCTTGTAATGGAAGAGAGAAGGGTACCACTGGAGCAGCATGGGGCACAAAACAAGACCTCCTCACAGTGCTGGCCCATCCTTTGCAAGAGCGTCTGGTCTGGTTGGGATGGCAGAACTTATACCTGGTAAAGTTGGCCCCAGGGGAGGATCCCTGCCTCTGTCCCTCTAAAGTGGAGAAGCCACTAACATTCACTTTGTTCTCCCCAGTTAAGTACCCTGGGGACAGAGTTATTTGCTGGAGCCCCTGCCAAGGCGTTTATTGAATCCCTGTTATATACCCAGCACTATTCCTGATTGGGGGCACAGAGAGGAAGCCAAGCCATCTCACAGGGCTCAGTTCAGAGTATGGGAGATGGTCCAGGGTGGGCACTTGGAGGAGGCACACAAAATTGCACTGAGATCTCAAACCAGTCCCCATCCCACTGGCTTCCATATGCCCAAGAAGGTGCCATGGGAAATCATCACCAGGAAGAAAGCTTGAGGCCAGTAGGAAACCATAGGGAGTTCTAGAGTCCCAAGGACCAGCTGAGCAGTGGGCAGGGTGAGGCTTATCCAGGTTGAGGGACTCTGCTACACTTTGCGGTTTGGGGAGTCCCATTTGCTGAGTGCCACTCCCTCCCCACCTGGACCAAGGTTGGGGGTCATGTCTCTTCAACAGAATCTCCATGAGCAAGACCTGGTCAGAAAGTGGCCTGGGGTATTGTGAAATTGGCCACATTCCTGGGTGCCAACAGTGCAGGAAGCCAGTCCTGTACCCAGGTCTCCTCAGAGCTCTCCCTCATGACCTGCCATCTCTGCCTCCCAGTTGTGTGACCCTGGACCAGTTCCACTGCCTCTCTGACCTCTGCTGTGCTTTCTCTGTAAAGGGGGCTAAGTGATATGATGGGAGGGAGCACACAGCATATAGTGGGCACCATGTGATGGGGAGGGAAGTTGGGGCCTAGCAATCCCCATGGGCAGCCTCTCTCAGGGCTCCAGGCTCAAGACAGGTAAAGACACAACTCTAGAGTGGAGGCCAGGGACCCGGACAGGGCCTGGACCAACCAGGCACTTGCCTTTTTTTAGACTAGAGAGGGAACACTGGTTAGGACAAAATGCAGAGGGAAGGCAAACATGGAGGGGCCAAGGCTGAGAAATCCTGAGAGATCGGGGAGTACAGCCTGGTAAGGGACATCCCAGAAGGTCCCCATGAAGGAAGCCTGAGGCCAGGGGTTTTGTGTGTTCTCTATGCCTTCCCTGCCAAAGGCCCAGCATATGGGACATTCCCCAGTTTGTCTTGATCTCCAGCAGGAATGCAGCCTGGGCAGGAGGGTGCACCAGGCTTCTGTCCTGCCAGTCCCTCCAGCGGGATTCCAGGCCTCATCCAAGCTCTGGCCACTCACTGAGCTGCATCTTCTGTCAGCAGGACAGATAGGCAGAGGTGGTGCCCAGGTGGCCTCCTTCTCATATACACCACCCTTTCAAGAGTGTCCTCTCAGTGACCATAGATGTCTTGAGCCCTCAAAAGCCAGGTGGATGCCAGAACAGCATCTCCCGGGGTGTCCCCAGATATCCTCAGCCAAGACCCTCCACTCTGAGGCCTGCTGAGGGGTGCAGCTGGACAGGATAGGGTGGGGGTATTTGCCCCCCAGTCTCTGAATGCACCCGGGCACACTGACTTCACCCCTGCCTTGTTTCACATATCTGTAGATCTAAAGATACAGACCTATATTATGTGTTATAAGTGAACACCCACACTTTTTTCCTCTTTGACATCTGTCTCTTCCATCTAGAATGGAAATGCAAAGTCTGGGTTAGTTCACTGATGGGACCATGGTGCCAGGCTCATGATGGGTGCTCAGTAATGTTTCTGGAAGAAATCCGTATCAAGGTCAGACTGCTCTCCTGGAGTTTCCAGACTCTCCCCCATAACAACTTTCCTTTACATTCTGAAGGTGTCCCCAGTGTCTGCCTATACTAGGCGGTGGGATTATTTTACTCACTCTGGCTCGAAGGTGACACTTCACTTTATTAAACAAGAAGATGGCCTCCTTTGAAGGCACCCAGCCACGTCCACCCCAATGCCATCCACTCAAGCCACTGCAGCTTCTGACCTGAAGCCCAGGTTGCTATTCACGAGGAAGTGTTTTACTTATGAAAGTGTGTGTGTGTGTGTGTGTGTGTGTGTGTGTGTGTGTGTGTGTCAGGCGGGCGGTGGGGGGTGTTGTTTCCCAAAGGGCCCCATTTAACAGTCAATTTCAGGAGCAATGAGGCAGGCAGGCAGGCAACTCCATCTCACTCCACTGCCTGGCTGAGGGCAGTGAGTACCCCAGGCATAAGGCCTCGATGGGGACATGCCCACCAAAACCTTCACCTCTATATTTATTGGTCCCACACTCTGTGGTAGACCTGGGAACTTGCTGGGAATTTGGTTTTCTTACAGGACTGGGCATAAGAGCGCAAAAGCAGAAGATGGGCGGGAGGGGAGAGAAGGTGACTGTGAGGGTGCAAGAGGCGAGGACATGGCCACCAGCACCCACAGAGACAGCTGTCCTGTGTCCATCATTAGCCAAGCCTGCCCCGCAGGAAAGGGGCATGGAGCCAGTAGCAGGAGAGAATGGGGACGGGGGTCCTTCTGGGATGCCCCCATCCAGACCCTGGTCCCTGGGAGCCAGTCTTACTCCACAGGCCCCATTTCTTCTGCAGCTCCCTCAACAGAGTGGGAGCACACAGTCCACCCACTAAGTCTCCTCTCACCCTATGCCCCTCCTGCCAGTCTGCTGAGGGAACAAGACCCCTTCCCAAGACCAAGGCTATCACTGACAGGCCCAGATGCGACCCATGTGGTTTGCCTGTGGACCGCTTTGTCCTCAACCTTCCTTAAGGCCCTGTCCCATAGCCCCCACTTCCAGCCCAGCCCTTTATTGTGGAACTTGGGGGGCTTACCCCTTCCTCATTTCCATGGCTCTCTGGTGGAGCGTCTGAATGTCACTTGGAGTCCTGGCTTGTGGGACCTTCAGTGCTAAAACTGGGACAGTCCTGGGAAAATCAGGATAATTTCCCCCAAACCCTCCTGCAGGTAGGTTCCACAGAGGTGACCCTGATTGCTACCCAACCCAACCATCTCCTGTGCCTGGTACTCTAGGAAAAGCCATGCTATTTTGTTCTCTTTTGTTATCAGACCCATCTCCTACAGGTCCTGGAGCACCATACCGCCCCCTGGCACTTGGGGCTCAAGCCACCTCTCTCCCCTGATCCCATAAAGTCTTGTTCACTTGATCTCCACCCTAGGGAGTGACAGGTATTGTGGTCTCAGACACCAGACCTCAGAGCAGCTTGAAGTCAGGACCAGAGACATTTCCTCAGATGGATCAAGGGAAACTAATTGAGCTTCCACCTCATGGCTACGATCCAAGCGACTATTCTCAGGCCCCCACAGCCCCTCGCCCATCTTGTCCCCTCCTGGGGTTCCGCACCCTGAGTGTCACAGGCTCACACTCTCTTCATATAAACATCTTAATTACATCTTTAATGCTCTCACATGGAGTTGCTTTGAGTTAAATTACAGCTTTGTGCATCCTAAATTACCCGCAGCCCTCCAGTCGGCTCAAGTGCTAACATATTTATAGCAGCTAGAGGGAATAAATCCAGAACCTTCCCCATGAGTGCCTTCTAGGCCCCCACACCCTGACATGTGGTATTTGTCCAATGGGAGATCTGCACACACTGTCCCTGCATCCCCTCCAACTGGCAGAGGACAGTGAAGGTGGCCAGACTGGGCACAGGGACATGCTCTGTGCATGCCCCTGTGTGTGCATGCCCAGCACAGGAAAAATGCCCAGCTCTTAGGATCTGTCTCTGAGAGCCTTGCCCAGATGCTTCTGGCATCAGTCCTGACCCTCCAAGGCTTATGGGGACACCAAGTGCAGAGGCCCCTTCCCCACTTCATAAACACTGAGGGGCCCTCCCCATAGATAGGATAGAGGGGAGAAACTCAAAGATAGACTAAGATTTTTAGGTCTTTTCCCTAAGGGGCAATCCCCCGTCCCTTTTCAGGCACTCAGAATGGCTCCCACTAGCCTGCAGCCTCTGACCACTGCCTTCAGACCAACTGCTTCTCCCAACCCTAGATCCCCAATATATCCAGGACAGGGAGCTGTCTTCAGAAGCAGGTTAGCCTGGCTGTTAGAGCCCAGTGAAGAAGTACAGTGGAGACGGAACCCTGCCTTGTTCCCTCTTCCTGGTAGTCTCTGAACACTGAAGGTAGAGAAGGTGGCCCACCCAGATGCTCTACTACATCCCATGGGGTGGGGGCTGACATAGAGACAGGCACACGTCTGGGACAGGCATGTGTTTGCCTGTGGGCACACTCATGCACACACATATTCAGCAGGTCTGGGGGACTGCAACCTTCCATATCTGTTCTCCCACTTCCTTCTCCCTCAGCACCTATCCTAGCTTGGGCCCAGTCAACAGCTGGCTACCAGGGATGTGTGGCTGGTAGACCTCCTGGACCATCTGTAGTATGGATGGATTCTGAGTGTGAGCCGCCATTCTTCTGGCATCCTTGCCTACTGGCCCTCTTGGCCTGTAACAGGTGCTGCCCTTCTCTGTCTGTGGTTGCCTCTCCCTACTCCAGAGGAGGTTCCAAATTCTGAAAAACAGGTCTCTCCCTGACAGAGGAGAACTCCCATTCTCCTCGTCCTTCCCCTCCCCCTCTTATCTCCCCCCATTTCCTCTACATTACAGGAGCAGACCCTGATGTGAGGAGTCTAGACAGGAGACAAGGAAGGCAGCAGAGGCTCTTTACCTTCCCAGTGTGAGGGATATCCTCCATGCCAGGGCCCTCAGGTCAGGAGAGGTCAGTGGCCAGATGCCCAGTCTGGCCAGGGCCCTCTCTTAGCGCCTAGGGAGTCAGCAGGTAGGTCCACAGGACAGCTAGGGCCTGTCTTGGCAGGTCAGGTCCTGAGAGTAGGTCTTGACAATCAGGGCAGTTCTGTGGGCACCATGACAGGCATCTCTATCAGAGGTCCAGGCCTGTTCCTGGGCCACTCATGCATGGATGGCGTTGGCTACGTCGGTAAACACCAGCCGGCTGGGCCTCTGCAGTGGGCCCTGGGAAGGGAGAGTGGTCTGCAGGGAGACAGGCAGGGGCATTAGAGATCTTGACCAAGGCCATGCACTCTCTGGCCTAGTCACTCCACCCCCACTTCCTGATACCTGCTTGTGCTAGGCACTGACTATGCCTAGCCCTGCAGCCTCAGCCTAGAAATTCGCCCTGGCTCAGATGACTTCTTCCCCCAGCAGCCATCCCCAGCTTGCCCTGCCACTTAGGCAGCACTTATTGTATTGATTTCATTATGCATGCATCACCTTCCCAGGGTGGGATTGGGGGTCAACTCTACATCCCTAGGCCCCAGCACAGGGGCTGCCACAAGGAAGGCACACAGGAAACAGCTGATAAATGGTCAGGGGCTGGGTGGTTCAAGGTTTTCAGTTCAATTTCCTGAATATATCAAGGGGTCAATATATCCTAACCCAGGTGACAAAACCAAGGGATCTTTAGACTCCCAAGCTGAACTCTTCCTGAACCAAGAAGATGCAAAGAGGCTAGATAGATCAGGGGCAGCCAGACCTGCAAATGGTGCTCTGGCCCATGGGGATTTTGGAGAATGGTGGCAAGTGGTCAGGTAGCTCCTAGTTTTCCTAGGAGAGGAATACAATCCTCTCCTCTCTGTTTTCCTAGTCAGTATGTGGGGGTACACAGGGCAAGAAATAGGGCTTTCATTTGTAGATGAAAAAACTGAGGCTCAGAGATGCCCATGTTCAGCAGGCTATCAGGGCAGAGCCAGGGTGGCTCCAGGACTGCCCCTGGCCTGGCTCTGCAGTGTGTTTGTGTGTGGCCATGGAGCAATTTGACCAGTTTCTGAACAAACCTGATAAAACCCATATACCCAGTAGCTGCTGCCTGACCATGGGGCAACTGGAAGGAAGGAAGAGTAAGGGTGGAGGATGCCTGACAGTCGTAGGTGGGGTGGGGAGCCAGGTCCATGCCCACCTTGCCCTGCATGGCCTGCACAGAGGCGGCAGCCTGTATGGAGGCAGCATCCCGTCCATGCTCCAGTAGCTCCTGCTCCAACTCGTCTTGCTCCTCCGTGGGGTCAAAGTTGTACATGGGCATGAGCTGGTGGCGTAGCTTCTCCAGCCTGGGGATGGGGGCAAAGGTTGCTGGGGGCAGGACAGGTCCTTTCCCTTCCCCCACCCCCAGTCCTCCAAACCCTGCCTGCTGATCAGCTGAGCCACAGCTCACAACCATGTTTAGGGTCCTAAGATTTCCCTTGAAATGGGATTAAATGGCAGAGGTTTTTGCACCTATAGTACAACTCAACTCCTCAAATGGTGGCCTGGGAGGGAGCAGTTACCTACTCCTAGGACTAGATAGAGCCATGTGCCAAGTAGCTGTCATCTGTGGGCTCCCAGGGACCACCTAGGCTGGGACCTTCCTGTAATCCACAGCCTCTGGGGGCTTGGTTGGGGGAGGGGAGTCAGTGGCAGTCAGTTCAGGGCAGCAGGGCAAGAGTGGCAGGGAAGTTGGGTGGAGATAGTCCCAACCCTCTTACCCCTTCCCCTCTCCACCCATCCCCAATCCCAGGGTTATATCTAGTTACCCAGAATCTTTACAACTGCCTACACTGTGTGTGAGATCCCAGTAGAGATCCTCCTCAACCCTCCCCAAAGGAAATTGGTCACCCTCAACCTGAGTGGGCAGAAGAGGTCCAGACTCCCTGACTGGGGAGAAAGGCCCTGGTAGAAGGAAATTCTTTCTCCTTTCCACCTGTTGTCCCTGGAGTTCATGGAAATTTTAGGTGGCAGCTGGGGAATTACCTCTTCTTCTTCCTGATGTACAAAACCTGCAAGAGAAAGAGCAGCATCAAATGGCAAGGAAAGGAGGTCCTGCTTAACCCAGCAGTTCTTCAAAATGGTAGACTGCTGAGGCTGAAGAATAGGTCTGTGGGTTCCTATGTGCTCAGGGTCCCCATCCCAAAGATACATACACCCCCATTTATGCTTCCCTTTGACATTTTTAGAAGCTGACAGTGCCCAGATCAAGTTTGAGGACTCAGAGGTGGGGACCAGACCTGTCCTCAAATAGGCTATCCTAGGAAGATCCCCCAGTTAGGCCTGACTTGGGGACTGGTGGGCCCCACCTTTGCCAATGCTGACTGTAGCTCCAGTCATTCAGCACCTGCCTGCAACTCCCCAGGGTGAGGAGGAAGGGATGACTCCAGAACATCTGCTCCCTTAACTTTCCCCAGGCCCAAAGCCATGTATAGTCAAAAAGAACAGGGGCTGAACAAAGTAGCACTCGCCTATAATTCTAGCTACTCAGAAGGCTGAGGCAGAAGGATAGGTTGAGCCCAGGACTTGTTTGAGTCCAGTCTGGGCAACATAGTGAGACCTCATCTTTAAAAAACAGCCAAACAAACAAAAAAAAGGGAATGGGAGGGTGAGGGGACAGGCAGTGGCCAGAATCTGTAGAGCAGTGGCTCCAGGCAAGGCTCTGAGCTGGATCTCTGAGGTTCCTATGGGAAGCTGATGGCCCTCACTAGACAGGGGGAGGGAAGGGAGACCTGAGCCCCTAGACATCAGCTCAGGTCAACTTCCCAGAAATCTGATACGGGGGGGAAACTAGGAAAGCCCCTGGGTCCTGTCCTCTACTGTACAGACTTGCAGATGAAAGCCTGGGAAGCCCAAGGAAACATCTAAAACCTTCAAGAAACTCTGGTACAATGCACCGAGGAAAGAAAGGAATAGAGTAACACGGGTGATCACCCTGGGCAGGGACTCCACGGACTTCTGCCATCATCCTGCTCTTACCCAAACTGGCAGTTTCTGATCACTTGGAGCATGACTACTGCCTGGGGGAAAGCCACATGCCGAGAAGGTCTATCCCACATTGTTTGTGGCCCATTCACTACTTAAATCTGGTTTTGTTTCCAGCCTGGTCCTGAGCTCCTTCTGCAGGAACCCAAAGGTCTACAGAGAAAGTGGGGTGTCTCTCATTCCCCCATCCTCTCCAGGGGATCACAGGTGGGAGGTGCCCATTGTTTTCCTGTGAGTGGATTGCAACAGGAGTTCTGGGATCTCCTGGCCTTCCCCTGCCTACTCTGAGCAAGTGAATCCGGCCCCAACCCCATGTGCTCTCCACTTCCTTCCTCTGAATTCCTGTGATTCAGAAGCATCTACAGGAAAGGGCAGAACTTTCTCTACACCTTTGCCTCTGCTGTTCTTTCTGCCCCAACTACTGACACTGCCCCCTATTTCTCACTGTCTAGCTAAAGCCCAACTTCCTCTAGGGAGCCCTCCCCAACTGATCCTGCCCACACCAAGCAGTTTTTCTCTTGGGTGAGGCACACAGCCTGGCACTGATTTGCTCCTCCTTGTACCTTTAGCTTTGGGCTGGCACAAGGGAGAGGAAGCAGCGCTCAGGGAATACCTCAGGACCTGTCTCTGGTGCCCAGGAACTGTCTCCCACCCTCCACTGCCTTTCTCCTACAAGTTTCCTATGTCTCTGATTTTGGTGAAAAGGCCACCCACCCAGACCTTCTGAATGTTTCCCCAAAACAAAGAGTAAGTTTCCCCAAATTCCTAAGATGAAACCTTATGCTGAGAGTAAGATTCTAGGCCCTGTTTTGCCCCTGAGGTTAGGGTGCCTCCATCTGCTTAACTATTGCATGGGCACCAAGGGGAAACATTGGCATTCTGCCTCACCCCCACCCCAGGAAGACCACACAGGACCTGGCCTCATTCAGCATGTGCTGCATCCTGGGCCTGCTTGCTGGCTGGCAGTTGCTCCCTGGCAGCAATCTGAAGCCTGCAGGGCCCATATGGCAACCCTGGTTTAACAGCAGCTCCAACCAGGTCATGGATGGACCATCCACAGCCCTATTTGTCAGAGCAACATGCTCCTGAGCCTCAGACCTGCCATCAAGGCCTGCAAGGAGCAGTGGCGGAATCCTACCATTGCCAGACCCACTGGGGAATCTCAGGTACATTCCTGTCTTCCTTGGTCTCAGCCTGCACAATCTCCAGTGGTCCCTCAGTGACATTTGAGTGTCTGTGTATCATCCTAGGGGAAAATCCCATGTCCTCAAAGGCTGACACCAGATCAAGAAGCATCATACTTACTATTGGGGAATATATGCTGCCCTGTCCTCACTCACCTCCTTCCTAATGACTGCTCAGCTCCATCTCTTCTTATGACACTGAGGCCAGCCTTCCACTTTGAGGTTCCAGCTCTAATTTTGCTTCCTCAGCTGTCCCTAATCACCCAGCCTAGAAAGCACCCCTGCTCACTCTCCGGATTCTCCAAGTTGGTCCTTGCAGACTTCTCTTAGAACCCTTGGTTCTTCTCTGTCTCCCACCCTGCCATAAGAACCACAGGCAGGACCTTGTCTCCCCAGCCCCTAATGGATCCCAAAGGCCTGCTCCAGGGCATGCACTCAGTAACTAATTGCTAAATAAATGAATGAATGATCACTGTCAATAATTCACCATGCCTAGAAGATTCCACCCAGGTTCTACAGCCCACAGTCCATCCCAACCACCTTCTGGCCTCTACTTTTTTTGCAATCCTACACCCACTGGCCTCACTGTCCTGCTTACTGCTCACAGAACCTCCTGCCCGCTTACAAACTTTTTCCCATCAGGACTGCCCTCTTCCTCCAGTTCTATGTGGCCTTCAGGCCCAGTTCAAGGCACTATGTATTCCTCAGAACCTTTTCTGGTTCTTCCAACGGAAATAATTGCCCCTCTGGTCTCTGGACTCTAGTGGACAAATCTATGTGTGAGGGGAATGGGGACTGCACTACCAGTAACAGTTAATTGTCTTCTGATTAGATTCTTTATAAACCAAAACACTGATTGCCCTCCCCCAAGTGAGGGCCTCCTGGACCAGGCCCAGCCTACTCCAGCTCTCACCATGGCCACAGCCAGGCCAATCACTGTGATGATCCCAAAGGACAGAAGCATGGTACCCACGCCGGCTGCACCACTAGCTGCATCATTAATTCTGGTGTCATTAAAGCTGGTGGCTTCTGGGCTGAGGGTAGTGGTCTCGGAGGCTGGCCCATCTGTAGCAGGTTCCAGGTCAGGTTCAGAGGTGGGTGGGCGGCTGCTGAACCAGTCCCTAGCAGACTTGATCCTGGAGTTCATGTTGAAACTGAGGGGCTCTGGCTGAGAGACAGCCTGTGATCAGTCAACCTGCTCACTCACTTCTGACTCAGGAGTGCCCCAGCCGGTGGCTTCTGCCACCCGTAGTGGCCACCTACACAGCCAGCTCCTTGCATAAAGGGAGCCCTCTGCCTCCCTTGATGCTAGAAAGGAAAGAATAAAGAAAATGAGACTAAGGACAGGGTCTTGTGAAGTCTTCTGAAAGCATTGGGGGAAATAGAAGTTTAAGGGCAAGTTCAGGGGACATTAGGATACATGATTTATATGAGAGGGGACCCAAAAAACACTGAAATTTATTTATTAAAAATTGTAGCTGGGCTCGGTGGCTCAGCCTGTAATCCCGCACTTTGGGAGGCTGAGGTGAGTGGATTGCCTGAGCCCATGGGTTCGAGACCCACCTGG